AACCAAACAAAATACAAGAGTTTTTGCATTTTTAGTTTTTTCATAGCAGTCACCGATTTTTATAAAATAGATTTTTCCCTTATGGGGACCAGGAAACCGGATAAAAAACGGATATTTATCACGTTATGGGGACATTATGTCCTCATAAGGATAGGTAAACCTACTCGCACACACACACACACACACACACACACACACACACACAATCAACCAGACCCCCACACCTTTCACCAAACATGCACACATACAGTAACTGAATTCTCTCACCAAATGAAACACAAGCAGAGTGTCTCTTTTCGCCATGGGTACTATAAAGTAAAAACAAAACAAAAGTACATGAACAAAAAACACATTACACATATATTGCTTTATCAATATAGCTCAAAACAAGTCAGTGAAAAGCAGCATCTTTCGAGCAGAACAAGGTGCAGAAACAAAGGGGCGCATGAAGCACTTAGACTGTTTATAATTCTACAACCCCCAGGATATTTTCTGAAAAAAATAAGTGATTGACAGCTTGTCAAATGAGAAATGTTATAAACCCTGACTTCCTGCTCTCGCTGGCAGCACGTTGGCAGGAAGTGAACTTTTCAACTCTGCAAAATTAGGACAAGCATTCTCCAAGACATTCATGGTAGCTGCTAGGAGGGAAAGACACATAAAAAATAAACAAGAAACATGCATTTGCCCTGCTTCACAGTTTGCCAGTCGTCTGAAATAATAAATAATAATTCATATTCTTATCGATGAATCCCATAATCTTCGGCAGCTAGCAAAAAACAAACACCTACTAAATGTCATTTGTCAGACTGTTTGGCAGCCTTCTTCCAATTGGCCTGAATTAATTACAAAAATATGTCAAACCGCTTCAGACAAAATAGCCTTTGATTCCGCACTATCTTTGTACAAAGATTCTGATGATTTTTGTATAATTGTTTAATTGAATCTCTCCAAAGTCGTTGGTGTGATTGAGGTTTTCAGGAAAGGAGAGAGTGAGAAAGGAGGGTGAGAAAGTCTGCGAGAACAAGAAAAGCGGAGGGGGGGTAACTTCCCCTCCGTCTGCCCTCTGTAACCTTCTACAATAACAAACATGGCACACATTACCTGCGTCTCTAATGGACAGACCCCCTTGCTGCCTGCTTTGCTCTTTGACCCAGCTCACCAAGCAGGGAGGTCTTTGTTTGTATAACTCACCTCTAGGACTTTTCTGCTAAACCCTCTGCAATTTGAGGTGATGCCTCTGAACTCTGAGTGTGCAGTGAGGCTTGGAGCGGAAGACAATGCTAGCGGCCTTTCGAATGAAAACGGTCAAGCTTAAAAAATGGTGGAAAACACACTCGGGCTGGGGCCTTGTATTCTCTGTGTGTGGATTTGCACGTTTCTGCTGTGTCACCTGGTACCCTGTCTTCCCCCAGCAGTCCAAAGACATGCAGTTAGGAGGATATTTGGCGTCTCTAAAACGACCATAATCAGTGTGTGTCCTTAAAATGGCCTTGCATCTTGTCAAGGGAGACCTCTGCCCAGCATCTGGTGCTGCCTGGGATGGACCCATGCCATGACTCTCTACTGGAAGAGCAGCTGGAAAGTGGGTGATGCTAAAAGATCCATAGCATAATCAGTAAATTGGTTATATTCCATTTTTAATGACAATAAGCTGAACAAAACACAAGAAGAGTTGTATTCATTAGCATAATGCCATACTTGACTTTTTCAGATCTTTTTAAGATTAAATGTAATTTAATCTTTAATCTGTAATTTAATCCATGGTATTTAAATGATAAATATCCATGGATTCATCCACACTTTACTAGTCAAACATTTTTATACAACACAGGTTTTTACCCCTTTTCCATTTATTTCATAAACTGCAGGTTTTTTTTCTTAAGCATTGGAAAGTCAAGTGAACAACTACAGTATAAATGAAAATATAAGTCAAATAAAACAAGTTTCCTTTATAACATGGAAAGAGCTAGTAACAGTGCATGTCTGGCATCCAATTAACTGGTTGTATCGTGATGGTATAGTCAAATGCACTAGTTAACTCTTTCATCTCATGAGACAGCAATATTTATTATCCCTTGTAGAAAGAATGCCTTGAATGTTCTCTGCTGTTATAACCGCTAGAGGAGGTTACTTTGATGAATCAAAGATATGACACTTTCTTGCTAATAAAGGTACTCAAATGGTAACATACCATAAATGTATTTATTAGCAAATTATATTGAGTGTGCTTTAGTAAATGTTAAGTGAGGAACATGCAAATGTAGAAAATGTCAGTGTGTGCAAAATCATTTTGACTGGTAGTGCTTCAAATTGATAATGGGGCTGGTAAATGTGTCCACATGAATAAGCATACAGTCCACAGACCAATAAGAGCTGTTACCTGCACACATGTCATGTCATGATTTTCAATACAGGCTTCACCTTACACCGCTACAGTTTATTAAATTTACAGCAAAAGTGTTCATTTTTAATGTAACGACAATCCAAATAAATACATTTCCAGGATTTAAGGAATTAAACTGACTATATCATCGACGTGTATTTTTTTCATGTAATACCTACAGAAGTAGACTTTTCAAACACTATCGAGCATAATCAAACTAAGGTACAGTTGTTGCCGAATCTCCTAGTAACCGCATCGTGTAGCTTTCCGCTTCTCCACTAGGTGTCACTATTCACCAGCAAATACTCATAAACCCGCAGGCACTGATTCTGCCGCACAGACACTCACTCTAATAGTCTATAATCATGTAATCGGGCATAATACATTTCTCCATGCCGACATTAAAATAATTACACACTCCGTAGTTCTGTATTTGTATTTGTGAAGGTCTTTATTACATCGAATGAATCGCAAGTTGCTCCGGTTATGTCCATGTTCTCCCAGTGGAACAAAAGATGGGTCAGTGTAATAAAATTAAGCGAAATAACACAAGGATACATAAATATGCAGTTACGAGGAGGGTGAATATTTCAGGTTTCATGACTTTATGTTTGACCTTTCCGGAGAAACAGCTAATCCCTGAATATAATAGACTTTGGCAGAGATATAGAAAATGGCTGCTACGTTATCAGGGTTGCCTGGGCGACCATCAGAGCACAGGGCCGGTGGTGATGCTTTGTTATTAAACAGTGAGTTTATGTTTATTGGAAAATGCAGCTTTTTTTGTCATAACGTGTCATTCATAATGTGTTATGCTGGATAATATGTAAAAGCTGTTTTTTTCCCTCACGCAATAAAGTATGATGATAATACAGAAATAAAATATTTTACACAGTCAGTTTGTTTTAATCATATCAATACTCAGGCAACAAAGTATTGCGTTTATATCAGTCACACATAAAACCGCATTTTTGCATAAAAGAAGCATTTAAAGATAAGACTTATCTACAAACACATATTGATAAAATAAAAGATTGGTTCATTCGAGTAAACAGAAAAATTCAACATATTCTTATCTTATTGTTATTTTGTATTATTATTATTATTATTATTATTATTATTACTGTTGTTATTATTGTTGTTGTTGTTGTTATATAATCATTATCATCATAATCACGATCATCATCATAATCAAAGTCAAACTAAAGAATTCAAATTTTATGGCGGTCCTACAGATAACGTTTGTAATCTTGTACGCTATGAATGGCACAGCGCAGGCCCGTCAATGACAAAGACTCACCCAAACGAGTTTTGCATATTTAGATAATAAAGCCGTTCTCTGCCCGTGTCGGTTATTAAAATGTAATCGTGAGTTAAAGGGTTAGTCAGATTTCTGTAACTCACATAAAGAGGCAAAAGAAATGTCCTATTGAACAAATAGATACATGAATCATGAAAGCTACAGTGTAATTTGTCAGTTAAAGCCGCTCTGTTTACGAGATGTTTTGCAAACATCATGACGAATGCGAAAACAGCACAGACGCAAACAAATGATTCATCATACATCCCCCTGCACAAATGTTACTGTAACCAATTATTGTGACGACAAGCTGAAACTATTGTGAAGACCCGCTGATGCTGTTATTTTTCATCTCTTTGAAAGACCTGCTTGTCCTGGTGAATCTGGGTAGTTTATTATTACAGCATAATAAATTGTTACATTTCAGTTTCACAAGGTAGGTAAGGCAGGCCAATAATAATAATAATAATAATAATAATAATAATAATAATGATGTATTATTGCTTTCATTATACTGTTAAATTCTTGTTGAATTGTTGGAATATTTGCTAGCGGTGCAAAGATAATCCACATATAGTTAAACTTTTAAAACAAAATAGAAAATTCTGGAAAATGTCTGTTTCGTGAAGTGCTTTATTTGCACGTTTTAAATTAAATTATTATTTTTTTAAATTAGAAGATATTCTGTGTACATAGGACTATGGGAGAATATCAGCCCTAAAGAGAGCATGTGGCTTTTGGTGCGAGACAAGGATCTTGCAAGCAACCCTGAAGCTTATGTAAGCAACTATGAAATGAGGACTAGCAATGACTCAAAATTAATGTTTCTAAATCTTATGACATTCGGTGTTAACGCATAGTGAACATAAATGGGTTAAGCAGGCAGTTACAAACTGCTTTGTAATTACCTGATTATCTGTTAATTCGGTCA